CATAGTGAGTAGTATGAACATGTGAAGTGCTAAGTATATCTCTGCTGCTTTATTTTTAACTTACTCATTAAGAGAAAGGAAACTGAGCCAGCACGCATATGGGTGGAACACACACACACACACACACACAAACGAGTGCATTTACTTTCCTGGAAAGCCACTTGGCATGAATTCATCAGCATATTATTGTCTCAGCTTGTCTGTGCTAAATGGAAAGGCACTTAGTGCTTAGCCTGACCAGTCTGAGTGGGCATGAAAGACTTGAGTGGGCATGAAAGACTTGGGGACAATATTCAAGACCAGACTACCAGGAGGCCAAGGGCGCTTGGATGGCTGAGGCAGAAACCTCAACCTCAGGGAGGAAAAAACACAAAACAAGACCACTGTGGAGGTGTCATAAGGCACAGATATTCTGGAATTGAGTCTTTCTGACCTGTAGCAGGGACAGCATTCTAAGGGCACCACTTTCTGGTATAGGCTGTCCACTTGAGCCTGGCCAGAAGGTAATCCAGCCTGAGAAATACAACAAACACACAAATCAGATTTTGCCTCTCTTCTAGACACAACCCTCTGTTACCTCCACTGTCCTCTGTCTCAGCCAGGTCAAGAGACTCTTCTGCTACAGCTGTCACCAGTACTCTGGCTTCGCCATCCTGCCCCCCCCCCCCCACACACACACACAAAGCCTCTCTAGTCATTTTGACCTACTTAGGGTTCCCAAACGGGCCAGGCTGGCTAGGACAAAGCTGGAGGCTTTGGTCATAGGAGTCACTCTGGGGTGTGGCCACCCCACCCCTTCTTACTTGCCCCAGCATTTGGTGACACAGCTCCACCTAGTCTGACTTCCCACAAGACAGGAATGCCTGAGGGTTGGGCCCCAAAGGCAGCTTACCAGAAACCTGCAGTCCAGCTGAGGCAGCTGGTGAGAAGGTGCGCACCCAAATCACTCCATGAAGGATTTGAGAGCTGGGATGAGTTCCATTCTGGGAGGTACCTTATGTACCAATCCGTATCTCTCCTCTGTGCCTCAGGAAAGTTCAGCACCCTAGCCCACCTGGGTGACCCCTCCTCCTGTGGCATCCATGTACCGTGTCCACAAACATAGAGATAGCTGTTTTACCCTGTGCCCTATATCAATTCACTGATGCTACTTTGCAAGCAGGGACAGAGGGGGACAAGGCTTTGAAGAAGGCATGAACTAGCTCTGCAGACTCAGACTCCTTCCAGTCCACTCCCCAGAGGATTCAGCCTGATCATCCCGAGGGCCTAGCAGAAAGAGGCAACACTCAAGGGGACCATGAAACACACCAGAGAGACAGCCAGGGGCTAGGGTCCAGCACCCCAACCTAACATACACCCCTTGGAAAAACCTGCATACTGACATCTTCCCCTCTGTACATTCAGAGTCAGGCCAGCATGGCCCCTATCTGTGCCTTGGTGTGATGGTTTTGGGTGTGGGCAGAGAGAAATCTGGCCAGTAAGACAGCTGGTAAATAGTTGCTGATATTTATTGAGAAATGGGAGGAAAGGCAGAAGCCCTGAAGGAGCAACCTGCAGGAGCCCAGGCTGGCCAGGGGTGTCCAGCTGGAGGTAGGGCACAAAGAGGGCTCTGGGATCCTATGGCCAGTTAGGCCTGGCTGAGGAAGGCCAGGTAGGCACTACAGAGAGCGAGAACATGTCTCAGGCCTCAAAGTTTGGACCATCAGATGGCACATACATGGGCTCAATGTGAGCCCAGCTGCGGGCCTGCTCATCGGCCCAAGTGAGCAGCTCAGCAGCCCGATGCAGGAAGATCAGAAGCAGTGTGTGCACATCACCCTCTGCTGAATGGGCAGCACTGGGCTCAGCCTGGAAGTAGCGGTGGAAGAGACTAGCCAGGCTGTAGCTCTTGCGGCCTTGAGCCCTGGTGCCATGACTGTGAGCACGGTCCAGGCCCCTCAGCGCAGGCAGTGTGTCCAGGCAGACAGTGTCTTGGGGCAGATGAGCACCCAGGCGTTGTAGCTCTGTGCAAAGTAGTGGGAAGTCATAATCAAAGCCATTGTGGGCCACGAGGCAGATGGGGCCTTCCTGGCGGCTCAGGAAGCCCTGCAGTGTCCGCACCACATCGGTATTGAAAGCTGCCTTTCGGCAGTGCATCAGGCCTTCGCTGCTCAAACCAGTAATCTCACTGGCCTTGGCAGTAAAGGGGCGCTCCGGGCACATGCACAGTGTGAGCTTGTCCAGCACACGGGGCAGCACCAGAGCACCAGAATCGTCCCGCTCTGGGTTCTCCAGGCAAGAGCGGTGAACAGCAAAAAGGGATATCTCCGCAATCTCAGGATCCATGTTTGGGAGCCCAGTGGCTTCCAGGTCCAGGAATACAAAGGTCTCAGCCCGGGGCGGCTCAGACATGCTGACGTTCTCACAGGAACAGTGAGGCCTAAAGCACCAGAACAAGTGGCATAAACCAGAGGGCTAAAGAAATGGGAGCAAGGCCCTTTTGCCCGCAGCCCCTCAGGTCAAAGCTCTATCACTCAGGGCCTCACTTCCTATGGCTCCACCCCACCTCATGAGACCTTTGGTGCTAGGCAAAGTTTCTAAGACTCATATCCAGGGACACCATGGGGCTGAGATCAAGTGACCAGGATCTGTTACTGCTGTCCATCCCTCCTCCTCCTTTCCCCAGGTCTCTTTGCAGCTAATCTTAGTTCTGCCACCTAACCAGACACAAAAGGCCTGCTGTGCCCAGGCCCCTCTCCCTTTTGCTGCGAGGCCCAGACCTAGTCACTGTCTCCAGCAAGGAGGGAGGCAGATGTAATCCACAAATGGTGCCTTGGCCCAGCTTCTTGGTAGACACCTTGGCTGGGAGCCTCAGGCATTATGCCCTGCTTTCTACCTTTGGGTAGCAGACACCAGAGGAATCTTACATTAAGACCCTAATTTCCCCATTTTTCTACCAAACAAGTGCTGTCTTAGGTTGGCTTCTACCTGCCTCCTGGCTCATGACACTGTCCACCCATCCCCACCACACTGGCTTACCTGGGGCAGGCTTCAGCTGGCTTCCTGGGCTGCTGGGCACCTGTCTCTGCACAGGCTGCTCCAGGCAGCCTTTAATCAGAGGCCACAGCCCGCCCCTAGCTACCAGTTGGGCAACCAAGAGGCCTGAGGCCGCAGGACCTGTGCAGCCGGCTTGCTTACCGCCCCCTCGTGAGCTTGCAGCCACCAGGACACACGCCCCATGTTTACAGACTGGGAAGCAGGGCTCTGGCCGCACGCAGGTTCCAGTGAGTGATGAGTACTGTCATGGACCAAGAGGAATGTGTCCTCACAGGCAGGAGGAAGTCAGAGTGTCAAGGAAGCCTGTCTTCCACCAAGCCCTACCTCAAAGTCTCATAGGGTCTGGGTTGTGGTTGCCAGATCTGGATAAACCAGGTGTGGTGCTTCCTTAGCCCTATGCTGGGACACATTACACACAGACAGCTGATCCTCTTCTCCAGGTCTTGGTTTCCTCCATCAGTGAGGATATGGACGTCCTTCATGAGATTACCATAATCTCAGGAGTGACAGGGGTATCTACTTGGGTTATGTTTAGTCTGTGAATGGGAAATCATGCTGAGAACAGGACCTTAGTCTTACTTTAGTAAACAGCGGGTGACCTCAGGAACATCTCCAATATACAACTGTCTGGTTGCAGATCACCCCTACCTTGTGGCCCCACTTTCTAGCAGCAAGCAGGAAGGTGATCTCTGCTTTTGGGTTTGACACTCAGGGGTTTGACACCTAATGTTGTTACAAGCATTTATTTAGTAGAGTTTTGGAGAAGGCAGGGAGGATAGGCAGGCAAAGGAAAGCCATGAGGTAATGAGGCCTGACCCAAACAGCCCTGAGCCGATTTTTTCCATTTCAGAAGTGGAAAGAGGCAGTCTGGACACCTCTAAGACTGTAGAGCAGTGCTTCTCAACCTTCCTGATGCTGTGACCCTTTAATACAGTTGTGGTAACCCCAACCTTAAAATTGTTTTCATTGCTACTGCATAACTCTAATTTTGCTACTGTTATGAATCATAATGGAAATATCTGATATGGACGATATCTGATATGCAACCCCTGTGAAAATGTCATTCGACCCCCGAGAAGGTCATAACCCACAGATTAGGAAATGCTCCTCTAAGGCCTTTCTTTCCTGCCTCACCTGACTTCAGGTGAAGGACACCCATCAAGACGTGAGAGTAGCTAGAAGGCTAGACCATTCATGGCCTCTCCTGAAGATTTTATTCCAGAGCTAGGTATCCAGCACTGTGGGCCTGGCCTCCCAAGGTTGTGTAGTCAATGCTGTACCTGCCCACTGCAGGCACTCCTGAGTCTGTCATAGAGAACAAGGACTTGCTTACCCATCAGTGTCTGAGCAGAAAGGGCCTAGCACCCAGCTGTCCAAAACTATCCAGGGAGCCTGGGGGAGCAAAGGTGCAGTTACAGGAGCAGGGTGGGGCAGGCCGCCACAGGTGTGATAATGGGCCTCACTAAGTCATTCCTGTTCCGGTGCTCGAAGGGAGGGAGGTGGTTGTGACAAGTATACTACTCAAAAAGATACTGGGTCACTGTTTCCTGGACAGCCAGGGGATCATAGGGAGAATTCCCTAGTGCCTTAGGAAAGAAGGAAGAAATAGCCTGGCTGCCAAGGACATGGCAAAGAGGGCATCTGCAGGACCCTGAGGCAGGAAAGGCAGTGAAGGGCACAGAGGCAGGAAGAGGTGTCATCACAAGGTGCAGTGCAGACCTCCAGGGCTAGGCATGGTCACCCTAACCAGGCAGTATCAGAAAGGAATGGAAGCAGCAGAGAGAAAAAGCCAAGGCCCACTGGGGAAGTAGAAGGGTGCCATCTGGCTAACCTAGAATAGCAGGGACGAGGACAAGAAGAGAGGCTGAGCATCCCAGGCCAGAGGGGAAGAGTATGATAAGCAGAAACAAACAGTAGTCTGGAGGCAACTTCTCAGAACATAAGGTTTCTTTTATTTCTAGCTCCCCTGTCCTACCCATCTCTGCCTGCCTTCTCCACCTCCCTCTTCCTTTTTTTCCTCCAATTGCGGATACCAAGCAAGTGGAAATTCATGTAGGCCATGAACAGAACTGGAACTGCCCCCCCCCCCGCAACAGCTCCAGGAAGGGCCTTCTCCCCCACATTATCTTGTGTCTCTGTGCAGTCTGTCAGTGAGGATCTTGTACTTCTGGGTTACTTCATCAATCCTTGCGGCTATACAGAAAAAGAAACACAAACAACAAAGTCAGTTCAGCGCTTGCAAGCTTGAAAGAGGCAGAAGCTGCCAGTCCATACAAGACTCCCTTGTCTTCCTACCAGAGCCCCGTCCTCCCTATTCTGCTCAGGCTGTCATTGGGCATGACCAGGTGGTAAGGGGACCACTCCCACCTGGTCCTCAAAGGGCTTGGAGCTTGGGGGTGCAACATCTACCATGACCCAGAAACACTGATCAGGGAGCTGCTTTGGGAGCCCCTTTGACTGGTGGTAGGCCAGTAGCTCAGGGGTCTCTGGTTGAATCACACTGACCAGACAGTGTCAAAGCTCAGACCAAGATGGGTGTCTGCCACCTCAAAGGCCAGGAGTTACTCTGGTTTTGATGGTGAGTGGTTTTAATCAGATACCAATATGTGCACACAGTAACAAAGCCAGCAACACAGAACTGCTCTAAGGCTTTTACAGCAGTGCTCTCCACCTTCCCAATGCTGTGATCCTTTAATACAGTTCCTCGTGTTGTGCTGACCCCAACCATAAAATTATTTCATTGCTAATTCCTAACCGTAATTTTGTATTGTTATGAATCGTAATGTAAATATCTGATATGCAGGATATCTGATATGAGATCCCCAAAGGGATCACCACCCACAGGTTAAGAACTACTGCTTTAGAGGAAGGGCATTCTCGAAAGTAGTTGCTACAGCCCAAGCTGCCCCGCTTTGATGGACACATCCTGTAAAAGCATCCACCTCCAGGGCCCTAACCAGACAATTACTGAATACCAATGAGGGATTTCTGCCCAATTGTAAGTTCTTTGCTTGTTTGTTTTTTTAACATATATTTCTGTTTTAAAGATTAGTTTATGTGTATGAATGTTTTAACTGTATGTTTCTACGTACACCGTGTGCATGCCTTGTGCCTGTGGAGACAAGAGGGTGTTGGCTTCCCTGGAACTGGAGTAAAAGATGGTTGTGAACTGCCACGGAATGGTGGGAACTGAACCCAGATACTCTTAACTGCTGAGCCATCTTTTTGGCCCCATGTATTTCTTTTATGTATGTGTATGCACATACAAGAACATACATGTCCTTAGCACACATGTGGAAGTCAAAGGACAACTTTCAAGAGTTACTTCTCTCCTTCTGCCTTGTAGATTCTGGGTATCAAATCCAGGTTGTCAGGCTTCGCAGCAGGTACCTTTACCCAATGGGCAATCACTCTACTCCTTTTGTTCTTATTCTGTGTTTTACCAGGCTGACCAGGAACTTGACTTTCCAGCCAGAATGATCACAGGTCACAGGTATGCCATGCTGGGTATTCCCAATGCAAATGCAGAGCTCTCCCAGGTAAGTGGAAGGTAGTTTCTCATAGAGGCTAAAACCTATAATTGGTGAGGTAGAAAATGAGCAGGCAAAGGTTCAAGTGGCTCTGTAGTAGATTTGGCACTGCTCCTTTTACCCAGGAATGCCTACTGCCCAAGAATTTGTCTCAAGGCACATCAGAAATCTGCACTAACAAGAACTGAGCCGGGAGCCCACCATCTCCACATCCCTGAGGCCACTAGGAACCAAAGCATGGGGTGGGGGTGCCTAACTCATACTGCCAAGCTGGCTACCAGTGCTAGTATGCCCTACTCACCAGTGAGCGGGCACAATGTTAAGACTATTAATGATCCTTATTGTAGTAATGACAGCATAGATTATGAACAATTTACTAATAGTAATTATGTGGACTATAGTGAGAGCAACAGTGACACTGGTAATTGGGGTAAATACTATAATAAATTTTAAGATGGAGGATCCTCTTATAGCTCAATAAGTAAGAAAAGACTCTCAAGTGTCTAATATACATTTGGCAGGTATGTGCCAGGGCAGAACATAGAAAGAAGGCCAGCAGTCAGAGAAAATCCCAATAAGGACCTGGTTGGTTATACAGCTACTGGAGAGGATGAGGGAAGAGTATCACAAGTTCAAGGCGAACCTGGGCAACTTAGTGAGACCCTTTCTCTAGTACTGGGGAAAAACGTCCCCAAAGGAGACAGCACAAAGCCTATGATCTAAGACCAATACTTGGGGGAAAATCAGTGAAAACAGCTATAGTCAAGTGTTTTACTTTCTGCTCACTAAAACAGTTGGGGGAAATAATACACTAAATCAAAAAGCTTGGAAGGAAAGGCTGGGAAGTGAGTAGTCCACAGGGTACCTAAAAGGACCTAAAAAGCCCAGCGCTGTGAAAATGCCCAGGAGAATCTGAACAAGTTTTTAGTCCACCTCCTGGCTGACCCTGAGACTGAGCAAACAAGAAGTGGAAGAGAAGGAAGCACTGTCAACTGCTTAACTGTTGGTGAACAATAGGAATCTAGAAAAGTCCAGAGTCCTCCAAAATGAGACATATAACCAAACTGGCAAAAGCCAGAAACAAGCAGAAAACAAGAAAATGAAGAGACCTGTTACATACAAGGGCCTTTAACAAGAATACAAGTTGGTCAGGAACCAAAAGCTATGGAGAAACCCTGTCTCGAAAAATCAAAAAAAAAAAAAAAAGAATACAAGTTGGTTTCATATCAGAAGCTAAGAAGGCCAAATGGCAGTGGAATGATACAGTCAAAGTATGGAAGAACTGTCATCCAAGAGCAAAGAGCCAAATGAACCTTCAAAAGAGGGGGAAGCCAGATGCCTCTGAAAAGACTTTTGTGCAGTGGATGGTGGTTAAAACAGAAACTCACAAGTACTCCAAGTGCTGTGGAGTGCTAATTCAAAAACAGGAAACCTATATCATACCTCCAACCCCCAAGGCTCAGGAAACATCAAGGAAGAGGAGACGGAAAGACCATAAGAGCCAGAGGTTAGAGAGTACTCAAGCAAAACAGGGTCTTCTGAACATGGCAGGGACATTGCACTCATGACTCACAGTGACTGTGATTGCTTACACAAGATCAAGCCTGTCGACATTCTAGCATGAAGCTGGAGCAGCTCACAAGTCCCCACCCCTAATGATGGAGCTACTGGCAGCTGATGAATGCTAGGGTAAGGATAGGCAGTTTTCTTTAAGAATGAGTCCCCTGGTGCATCAATCATGCTCCAGTGAATGGCCCTACACAAACACAAACACACACACACACACACCACGTGGACAGCACAAATTAGCTTTCGTGGGATTTATTTTTAAAGAGGACATTATGTTAGAAGAAGAGTAAGGATAAATCTGGAAAACATTAAGGGTAAGAGTAAGGGTTGAATATGATCAAAATACATGTATAATAGTCTCAGAGAATTGATAAAAATATTACATTGAATTTTTTTAATGAAGGAGAAAATAAGGAAGGCATTCTAAGATCAACAAAAACTGAGGGAATTTGTCACTGATGGACCTTCCCTACAAAGCATGAATGAACACCAGATAGTGATTATCAGACTATATCAATAAAGAACTTGAGGCCAAGCAGTAGTGGCATCTGCCTCTAATCCAAGTACTCAGGAGGCAGAGGCAGGTGGATCTCTGTGAGTTCAAGACCAGCCTGGTCTACAAGAGCTAGTTCCAGGACAGGAACCGAAGCTACAGAGAAACCCTGTCAAAAAAAAAAAAACAAAAAGAGAGGTAGGAGAAGGAAGGAGAGAGAGAAGGAGGGAGGGAGGGAGGGAGGGAGGGAGGGAGGGAGGGAGGGAGGGAGGGAGGGAGGGAGGGAGGGAGGGAAGAAATAAGAAATGAATGAACTTGAAAGCCCGGTCTGTGATTCACATCTGTAATTCCAGCATTTGGGAAGCAGAGGCAGGAGAATCGCTGAGTATTTGAGGTCAACCTCATCAGCATAGTGAGTTTCAGACCATCCAAGGCTACAGAGTAAGACCTTGTGTTAAACAAACACCAATAAAAGTAAGAAGACAGATAAATATGACAACTAGCATAAATGTTTTTCTTTTTTTTTTTATTTTCAAGACAGGGTTTCTCCCTAGCTTTTGGTTCCTGTCCTGGAACTAGCTCTTGTAGACCAGGCTGGCCTCGAACTCACAGAGATCCGCCTGCCTCTGCCTCCCGAGTGCTGGGATTAAAGGTGTGTGCCACCACCCCCCGGCTGCATAAATGTATTTTTGATTGTAATTTTCTTCTAATTTCAAATGCAACTGCATAAATCAGGAATTATAAATCTACGTTGATGGGCATATAATAAATGCATTTTCAATCTAAATTTAAAAATAACTTAAGTGAGAGAACAAAGAAATTCTATTAAAGCACACTTTTGTGTACTATTGAAATTAACTTGGTACCAGAGTGCATTAAGTTATTATGATGAGACTGACGCGCTACCGAGGCACCTGCATTAAGTTATTAGTTGTAATCCTGAAGGCAAATGGGAGAGAATGAATATTTTTTTAAAAGTTTATATGATCCAGCAATTCTGCTTTAGACCAAGAGAATCAAAAACACATTCACACACACAAAAAAAATCTAGCAATGTTATTCCTAACAGCTAAAATGAAGGAATAATTTGTATATTTCCTAATAGATGAATAAACAAAAATATTTTATTTATTCCTCACAGCCATATCAACCATACAAAAGAATATAGCACTTGGATGAACTTTGAAACTACTGTGCTTAGTGAAAAAGGACAGTCTAAAGGTCACACACTGTTCAATTCCATTATAAGAAAAATGTCCTGAAGAGACAAGACTATAGAGAAAGACAGTAGATCAGTGTTTGTCAAGGGCTGGGAATTGGGGGAAAAATGGGAGAGATTGCTATTTTTTCTTTCTTTTTTTTTTCTTTGAGATAGGGTCTCATTATGTAGCTCTAGCTATCCTGAAACTCATTACATAGACCAAGTTAACCTTGAACTCACAGAAATTCACCTGCTTCTGCCTCATAAGTGCTGGGATTTAAAGGTGTATGTCACCACACCTAGCTTCTGCTATAGAACTTCTTTGGGGAATAATAAAAATTATTCCAGGGGCTGGAAAGATGGCTCAGTGGTTAAGAGCATTTGTTGCTCTTCCAGATGACCCAGGTTCGATTACCAGCACCCACAAGACAACACACAATTGTCTGTAACTAAACTCACGAGGGATCTGATGGCCTCAGTGGGCACTGTACCCACATTGTACACAGATATAAATGCAGACAACTATACTCATATACATAAAATAAAAATAAATAAATATTAAAAAAATATTCCAGACTTAGTTGTGATGGTTGTTCAACTATATGAACTGTGTTAGTATCCTTTTAAAAAAACACACTAGATTGTTTACTGTTGAAAGATTGAGTAAAGATGTTATTAAAATAGGGCTTATGTGCAACTCACTTGTATAGCATATATAAAGTCCAGATTTAATCTCCAGTGAAGTGAGAAAAGGAAAAAAATATTTTTACCTTATGGATTTATCTTGTTATTTGTTTTCTTATCTCTATAGTACAAAGACAGAAAAAAAAGAGAAACAGACTAGAATAGAGAACTCAGAGACTCTTGATGACTAGCAGAATGATGGCTTTATCGACCAATAGGGGAAAAGAGAAACAGACTAGAGAACTCAGAGACTCTTGATGACTAGCAGAATGACGGTTTTATCGACCAATAGGGGAAAAGAGAAACAGACTAGAATAGAGAACTCAGAGACTCTTGATGACGAGCAGAATGACGGTTTTATCGACCAATGGGGAAAAGAGAAACAGACTAGACTAGAGAACTCAGAGACTCTTGATGACTAGCAGAATGACGGTTTTATCGACCAATGGGGAAAAGAGAAACAGACTAGAATAGAGAACTCAGAGACTCTTGATGACTAGCAGAATGACGGTTTTATCGACCAATGGGGAAAAGAGAAACAGACTAGACTAGAGAACTCAGAGACTCTTGATGACTAGCAGAATGATGGCTTTATCGACCAATGGGGAAAAGAGTGCATTTCCATTAAGTGCTCCTGGGAAGATGCACATTCATACAGAATACAATGAAACTGGACTCCCATCTCATGCTATAATCTGGGAAGATTACTAACCTAACCACAGAAAGGAATGATATAAAACCTACTCTTTGCCATAGTAGGAATGCTATCTACAGTAAATATAAAAGATGCTGTCCATAAAGGAATTATGGCTACATTTGACCACACACAAGTTATGAAAAGATAAGCCACATTATGGTGGAAGATGTGTATACTATGCTAAGCATCCAAGAACCTAATATACCATATATAAAACAAGCTACAAATCAATGAGAAAACATGAAGTTTTTACAAGTTAGACTTTAACAAGTACTTTACAAAAAGGAAAGCTTAAATAATTAATAAATGTATGCAAACGTGCAACTCTGTAGGCACTCACTAAAATACAGAATAAAACATGCAGGAAAATGCTGTTACACATGCCGTACACATCATCAACTAAAGTCAGGCCACGGCTAGTGCTGATGGGGATATGCAGCTATGGGACATCACATGGGGGCCAGGCAATGTGGCAGGCTGGAGTAACTCTACTCCCAGAAAGACATCCTGGAGAAACTGGTACATGTCTACACAAGGAGATATGTTCAAAAATGCCCAAAGCAGTGCCATCTGTAAAAATCTCAAACTGACTGGGTATGGAGGCTGATGCTTGTCATCCCAACACTCTTGTTAAGTCTGAAACAAGCCTAGGCTATATAGTAAATTCTATTCTCAAAAACAAAGAAATAAATAAAAGAACCCCCAATTGAAAGAAGCCCCAAAGTCCAGAAAGAGTGGACGCTGATTACAGCACTGACAGCACAGTGTGACACAGGATGTGCCAGCTGGTTTTATGTCAACCTGACACAAACCAGAGTCATGTGGGAAGAGATTGGAATCTCAGTTGAAAAAATGTCCCCACCAAATGGTTTGATGATAGATGTGAGAGGGCCCAGTTCACTGTAGGTGGTACCACTCCTGGGATGGTGGTCCTGGGTGCTGTAAGAAAGCAGGCTGACTGAACCAGTAAGCATCACACCTCCATGGCTTCTGCATCAGTTCCTCCTCCATGTTTCTGCCTTTGGTTACTGCTCTGACTTACCTCAGTGATCGACTGTGGTGTGGAACTATAAGATAAAATAAACCTTTTCCTCCCCAAGTTATAGTCATGGGGTGTTATCATTGCAATAGAAACGCAATGACATGGGGTAAGATGTAGCACTAGATGGCAGGATCAACAAACCAAGGCTGGCTGTGTATTTTCATAGATGAAATTTGGGGGAAACACAGCCACACTCATTAATGGAGGACCAGGTATGGTGTTGCAGGCCCAGGCCTTTCATTCCAGTTCTCAGAAGGCTGAAGCAAGAAAATTACCATGAATTCAAAGCAAACCTGGGCTTTACAGAAAGACCTTGCCTCAAAAAAAGTACAATAACAAACTTAGAGGAGTATAATTAAAATGAAATGCAGATACAGTTTTGCTCCTAATAGCAAAATTATAAAAAGAAAGGAAATGAAAATAGGTTAAAGAATAGCAAGAAACTGATGAAAATTATCATAGCCAGCATCTGTGGTTGCCAGAATGTGGTTTATTTCTTTTAGTTTTACCTACCTCTATACATCTCTGAGTTATCCCAATTTCCTGTCAGGAATGCTGGAAGCATTTTTTTCAAGGGAAAGAAAACAAGCATTAAAATAAAAAATTAAGCAGCCAGTCTCCTAAGAACTGGCCCAGCACAGAAAGGCAGAGGCCCTGCCATGGAGCATACTTGGCCTAAGTAGGCAGGGAAACTGCCCCTCAGCCCCAGGCACTTACCTAGACTTATCCCAGAGTTGCTGCTGCCCCAACAGTTTGGATCTCCTTGTTGCTTCCTCACTGCTTCCATAGCTTCAGCAGAGGTGTCTGCAATCTCCATAATGACTCTCAACAACTGCCAAGACAAAGAGGACAGGCAGGCACCAGTGAGGCTCGTCTGCTGACATCTGTTGCTTCCCACCCAATCTTACACTGAAGCCCCAAAAGACAGCCAACATAAAGAGACAGAACTCTCAGCTGGAGAGTTTCCCTTCAAACCCAAGTCTCCTTCTTCCTGGCTCAGTGGTGACTACACACTATCATGGTCCTCTGGCAGCCCTCAGTTTAGTGACATGCTACCACTACATGCTGTGACAGTCTGACTACAGCAAATGGCAGGGCAGAAAAAGAAACATTCTACCAAAAATGCCTCTGTAATGAGAGTTTCCCTGTACTGGGAGCCTTATGAGAGGTTTGAAAATCTTGGGTTTTCTTGTTCTAACCTAAAATCAGCATCATGGCACTGTGAGCCAAAGTCAGAATTGTGCACACTGCATAATAATGGGAATTAAATCCAGCTGCTGAGCCTGGTTTCTGAGAAGCGGAAATATGGCAGAGCCATGTTCACTCAATGGCTTAGTCACAAACCCAACTGCCTCCTATCTTGTTTGTTTGTCTGGCCTAGTACTCGGACACAAGATCAGAGCTAGCGCAGCAGGTTTGGGCATGTGAGAACAACTCTAGCATAGAAACTAGGACCAGGGCACCAGACTGAGTCAAGTAGAACCCAATGCAGGGAATGCATGAACCTCCCTAGAGGTATGAGAGGTAAGAATGGAATTCTCCTAAATCGCGGGGGCGGGGGGAGCTCTTGGAGATAACGTCCACATCAGCTCTCATCACCTCCCCAAGGTGCCAGGAATGTCTGTCCTCACCTGACAAAGGTCCCAGATCCAAAGTACTACAATGTGATTAGTTGAAGAGCCCAGGCCAAGCCCTCTCAAGCTCTTTCCCAGCCCCTAGACCTGAAATCAGGGGCTGCTAAGGTATAGATACAGAGATAGGGAGGTGTCTTACTTGACCACAGGAAGCCAGAGTCTGATAGACAGCTTGGATGATGGGGCCACTTGGGTGCAGGCTGGGTTCTGGGCGCTGGCAGCACTGTCCCAGCTCATCATCATAGACTTGGAGGAAGGCCAAAACGAGCTGGTAGAAGTCAGAGATGACCAGACGAAGCTTCTGATCTATGGGACTGCTATCAGTCCCTGCTTTATGCCATGCAAAGCACTGCAAAATCAAGGGTAACAGTCACTTGAGGATGCTCTGCCTAGCCAGCCTGGGCTGCCATCAGCCTACATAACACAGGCTGATATAACATAGCACACCTTAGCAAGGAAGAAAGTTTCCATAAAGGAGGAGATTGGGGGTGTGAACGGAGCCTCAGCTCTGAGGCTAATGTTTGCACAGGCCTCAATCCCCATAGCCAAATAAATATCTAGCCTGGTCAACAGATGCCAGTAGGGCTGAATTTGAGAAGACATGTGAAGGCGTACAGTCAGGCCTGGTGCACAGCTGCCACCTGAAATCCATTATTTCCTTTCATGCTCAGACCCTCAGCACCTACCTCAGCACTCTCACGGCATCTCACTGAAGCCTCACAGCACGCCGCGCTGAGGGGGACATCACTTGCCCTACTCAGCAGAGCCTGTTCCCCAAGTCCCAATGTCCCCAGAGCTGGTGCCCTTTACCTGGTCTCGGAGTGTCTGAAGCTTAGTAGCACTCTCTTGCAGATGCCTGGCCAGATCTACCACCTTCTCTCCCTCTGACTGGGCATCGGAGCCAGCCCTGCAGAGGAAAAAGGAGAGGACATTGTCGGCTCTCTGCTACTGCTGCTGTAGGCAGAAGGCCACTATAAGGTCTGCCTTAGTGAACAGAAGCAAGTTGGGGTGATACCAGGTAGAGCCTTCCTGGAGACCTACTCTGGCAGGTCATCACATTGCTTGTTGACAGAGGACTGTATGTCCAGGGGCCATGGGTCATTCTCAGGCTTCAAGATTGCCCACAGGTTGGGGCTGGAGAAGAGCTCCCCCAGCAAGGCCTCATTTTTCTTTGTGGTGTCTTCAATGTGTTCCTTCACGCTGCAAAAACAGGACAGGCACTGAGTACACTATTATCAGCAGGAGCATTAGCCCAGCAGTCCCAGATGGGGAGCTCTACTGCCTACATTCCTAGCCTCTGCTTGTTTTGGCCTCGCTAATGGCCTCTTGCCTGCAGACACCCAGGTGTTAATTCTACTCCTATACATAAAGGTTAGTTCCCCCCAAAGTCTACAGTGCAAGGATCTCAGGCAATGACCCAACATCCCAGAGACACAGCTATCCCTTGTTGGGCCACTGCCTGACCCCTAAACAGCCAGTCCAACCCCCAAGACAGTGACTAGAGTTAACTGTCTCAACTTATCAGTTCTGTAATTCCTGGACCAATATGTGACTATTGCTGCCACAGGGGTACAGAGAGACTCCAGATGAAGATATTTTCCCTTACCACCCTACCACCCCCAGCTAAGACCAAGACTATCTGTCAAGGGCACCCACCTATGCCACTGACACCTTTACCTAGAACTACTGGAGCATCCAGTGGCCAGGCTCTGCATCATATCCAGCAACTGGTCCATGAACTGCAGCTGCTTCTGGGGACACTCACAGCCCTGGCAGGGAAAGCCACATATATTTGCCACTAGACCCAGGTCAGGCCTAGACAACTGTTCCAGATGCCCGATCCTATGCTGCCCTTGCTGTGGCCAATGGCAAGCGATCTGGCCAGACAGTTCCTCTTTCCTGTCCCTGACCCTTGCTGGTAGCCTCTTGATTTGGCTCAGCAATAGCATCCTCAGACTTCTGCCACAAAGTGCTCCTTCTGAGGCCACATTTCAGGCTGCAATGACACCTGGAAGCACACTGCAAATGCAAAACGCAAAATGTTGTCAAAACATATTACAGTGTGAGTTTGTCACACAGCCAGAGGGGGAAAGCTTATTGAATGGGTGGGTGGCATGCAGCAGGGCCTACTAAAGCAGAATAGAGCTCACAGGGATCTGATGGTAGCCTATTCCACAGGGACACCTCCAAGCAAACACCTCAGTCAATCCCTTCTGGCCACGAATGGCAGAAGCCAACAGGTACAGCATGAGGCCTGGAGGTGGCCTGTTCTCCGGCAGGGGCCCCTAGACTTTCCATCAGGAAGGCTACAGGTTTCTGTACAGCAACTTGTGCAGGGCTGACCAGGTCTCCTGCTTGCCCATCTGCCCAGGTGATGCAGGGAGCTGCCCAGTGAAGAGTCCAAGGCTTGCCTTCTTCTAGAAAGTCGATGATTCCCCAGGAGCAGACACTATCTTAGAGGCCATGACCGCTCCACAAATTCCTGTGAAAATAGGGCACCAAGCAAGGCCTATTCCCTTAAGTGTACCTTCTTACCACCCTGGCCTGGCACACACAATTCTGAGGAAGACTAATCAAAGAGTCACTCAATCACCATCACCAGTGCAAAATCACCTTGAAGAGCAAACAAAGACTGAAAGCTGGTGGTAAATGCAGATGCTGAAGTGAAAGGAGCCAAGTGGTCCCTGGAGAGGAGTAGTCACAGAGAAAGCCCAGTTCCAAGATTCACTGCCACCGAGTTGATGTGGGATGTCCTTTTGTATATGTGTTACTCTTATTGATTAATGAATAAAACTGCTTTAGCTTATGGCAAAGCAGAATATAGCCAGGCTGGAAAAATAAGAGAGAGTAGGCAGAGTCAAGGAGACACCATGTAGCTGCTGAAGGAGCCAGATGCTGGAACCTTACTGGGTAAGCCACAGCTTCGTGGCTATATACAGAACAACAGAAATGGGTTAATTTAAGATGTAAGTGTTAGTTAATAAGAAGCCTGAGCTAATAGGCCAAACAGTGTTGTAATTAATATAGTTTCTGTGTGATTATTCAGGTCTGGGCAGCCAGGAAATGAACAAACAATCTCTGGCTACAATGAGTGAGTTAGCAAAACACATTCCAAACATCTTCAAACATCTTCAAACTGACACTTGCTTCTGGGACATTTTATTTTACTTTATTTTACTTTCTTGTTCACTCAGTCTCCCCATTTACCCAAGAAACACACCTGCAGGACAGCCGGGGGTAAAAGGTATTACACTGCTTAAACTGGAAACAGTCGAGACAAAAACACAAGTGCAGCTGTCATTCAAGACCTCACAAGGCTTTTGGTCACTTAGTAGAGAGTTAGCTCCATTACCTCCCCCATTGCACGCTCTGGAATGGTTGTGTAGCCTGCTTAGGGTTTCATCATCACAGACTTGCCCCATGTAGTCCTGCTCAATATCTCCCAATGAGCTCCCCAAAGCCACTTACAACCCTTCTGGATGACCTTACAAGACCCTAGGTAGAGTTAACCTCCAGCAGGCTGGTCTGTGGTTACCTTACTAAAGCCCATAACTAAACCATACTCTGTCTCCTCTCTGCTCCCAAGCAAAGGGCAAAACCCAACAATCACACTCTGGGAAGGTCTAAAGAAATGGTAAAGTGTGAATTTTTATGAATTCATTCTTCAGATCTTACCAGAGTATGATTGCTGGGCCTTGTCCCTGCCTCTACCTTACTACATCAGCAAATCCAGTGGGTCTGGCCACTCCTCTACTTTCCCCATTATCACTGGCATTCAAGCTATTATTTCACATGCTTGGCCACTGCTGTAAACTGCGAACAGGTCCCTCAAGGTCTATTCTATCTACCCCATCTTCACATCTTAACCATGGCTATTTCTGTCAGACGAAACAGAAATTCCTGTTCCTTAGCTCCAAGTTCCCTAGGCCACCACCTTACACACACTAAACCCTTCTCTGGCCTACAAAGGCCATCACACCTGCCCAGTCTGTTCTGTTCCCTTCCCTTGTTTTCATTTGGCTTTAGCCTAATCAGCCTTTTAACAGTTGTTTAAGCATATCAAGCACAGACCACCCCAGGGCCTTTGCACTTGCTATTTTCCTAGATGTTCTTTTTTCATTTAGAGACATTGGTTTTTGTTTCAGTTTGCTAAAATTTAATTCAGTCCGCAAATTTTAAAGTATATAGTGACATGACAGGATAGTCAAAGAACAAATTGGCCATCACCATAGTCAATTTTTCTTTACAAATTTATTTACTTATGCTATGTGTCTGGCTGTTTTGCCTACATGTGTATCTGTGTACCAGATGTGTAAAGCACCCAAGGAGAGAGAAAAGGCCATTATATCCCTTGGAAATGGAGTTACAAGTGGTTGTAAGCAACCATGTGGAGGCTGGGTAGGACTCTAACTGACTCTAAACCTATCCTCTGAAAGAGAAGCGAGTACTCTTAACCATTGAGTCATCTTTCCATCCCCATGGTCACATTTTAGAAACATATCTAGAACCCCCAAAACAAATTCTAGACCCATTAACAGTCATTTCTTATTGCCTCCTACCTGAGCCCCTAGCAATCACTATGTGCCTATCTTTCTTTGTGGATTCACCTCTTCTCAACAGTCTACACATAAGGAATCTTGTAACCTTTTCTTATGACCTTATACTACCATTTATTATCTGACTGCTTTTCACTTAGCATCCTCAAAGATCATCTACATTGTCACATGTAGCTGTGATGTCTTCTTTCTTGAAAATTATCTCACTAGTAAATGGGCATTAAAGGGCACTTCTACTTCTGAGCCACTATGAACATTCACAGTGAATTCTGGCACATGTGTGTTAACTGTCTTCTACAGTAGCTGCACAATTTTATGTCTCTATTAGCAATGTATGAGGGTTCTTGTCTCACCATCCTTGTTAGCCTGTGTTATTTCCTTCTACTTCTAGACATTATGGTATGAGTGGAGCATAATACTGCAGTCGTAATTTTCATTGTTCTTGTGATCAGTGATAAAAAGTATCTTTTCGTGAACCTCTTGCTAGCTTTTCCTCTCTGCCCTATTGCTATTGCATCAATCATGCAAATGGTTTGTAGCTAGAGGATAGTGGAACTGAAAGCCTTAGAGATATGGCATAGAAGAAAGAGATGAAGAAAATAACTACATAAATCAGTTTCAGAAAGTCTGAACCAGCCCTCTCTGCACCGCTGACTGACTACTAAGCCAGGGGAAAAGCCAGGCCCAGGTCTGAGGTTCACCACTGGGTGGCGCATACAGGATGCATGGTAAGAAGGTGAGCTGACAGTGGAAGTTCAGGCCAGAGAGGAGGGGTGGACCTGGCTGCATAAACTAAAGCAAGTCTGCTGGAACACATGGATCTCAACTCTCCATGAAATTTTAACAAGATTCAAATACTAGCCACCATGTCCAGGAAAAAAATCCATAAAAATCTGACCCGTGAAAAACCATGAAGACCTCAATTTGCGTTAGAAAAGATGTTCATTAGACGCGAGACAGATGAACTGACAGTTTTAAGCAGCCATCAGAAAAAATGCTTATACAACTGTGAACAAGAAACAAAAAACATGAAGTATCAGTAAAGAACCAGAAGAGAAAGGAACCATGTGACAACTTCAAGCAAAAAGCAAAACAAGAGAAGTATGGCCCACTGCATATTGGGAGATACAGTTATACTTATCAGTGTTAATTTACTGAGGTAACAAATGTTCCACAGTGAGGGAGGTCAAATGGGGCCAGTGACAGAAAACAGATGGGAATTCTATGTTCTTAATCTTCAATTCCCTGTGAACCTGCCCTACTTAAAAACAAACCCTCACTGGAGAGACTCAACAGCACAAAGCAGCACATCCTCACCAAAAAATGGTTCATTAGTTCCTCAAAACTGAAAACAGAATTACTACATACCTAGCTCATATCCAAGAGATATGACAATGGGGATCAAACAAAAACACACAGACTGTCCACAACCCGTCACTCACAACAAATAATTGGAAACAATTATTTGAAATTTAGACATTTTAACGGTAGGGTAGGGTTTCTCTGAATTAACTATGAGGTAGGTCAGGGACCCTCAGGTAGGGTAAAGTACATGGGTTTGAGAGCCACAGTCCTGAGTTGTAGGCCTAGTTCAGCCACCACGTGATCTCAAGTGAGTTTCTGATACCTAGTTGGGAAATGGAGCTAAAAAAACATTGTCTGCTCAGGATGGGTGTGACAGTGACTGAAATATATTACCTATCTTGATACTATATATTACGTACCATACTAGCCAAGTATGACATCAGCAAGTGAGAATACACTCTGTCCTTTTGATCATCATGAACCAGATATCCACCTCTATTTCCATTTCTACTACAAGCCTCCCCATTCTGTCTACCTCCCTCAGAGATTTCTGGCAGCGCTTAACCTAGGGACGCCTAGAGAAGCAATCTTGCCAGGCATGCAGGCTCTGGAGCCAGAAGCCTCTCCCATCCACTCACCAGCCTAGGACAAAAGCATGTGCATCCTCTGTAGGGAAACAAGAGGGTCCTTTCTTACCATCAGAAGATCCCGGTCATCTGGTGTACATAACATCAGCTCATGGCCTAGCTTCACCATCTCTGTTAGAATACAAAGACCTTGTCACTACAGACACCCTCTCAAAAAGAGGAGGATACAAGACATCCCAGAACTAAGAGCAAATAGGGTACTACTAAGGCTTCTCTTTCTAGATATGTTTACAGACACAGAAGTAAATGAAGGGTTATTCACCATACTCTGTACACAAGACATAGATGATCAGTTGCCTGAGAAGCCATCAGAAATTAGAAGGACTCCGGCATGCACCACATGTCACCCTTTTAGAGACTTCATGAAGTTAAAACAAAATGATCCATGGCTCACATCTGTCCATGTCCCAAATGCCTTTCATTCTCCTGACATGTCATCTTGAAGGTGAGTCTAGGCTCTATTTTACAGATAAGGAGTCTGAGGCCTCACAAGGAACAGGAAACATTTAGCACATCTTTGCATGGCTATCTAGTATATAAACAAAGGCCAGAAAGTAGTGTTTCAGAAGTACCTTCAACCCCTCACGGGCCAGGCTATGCCTCAGCAACAACAGAGCAGGTGTAAACCTGTGTAGGACATGTTATGAAAGACTCATTGGAAGAAGTGGCAGAGAGTATCTATGTGGCCCTAGGAATACTCTGCAGATGCCACTGTGTCCCCACACCAGCCTGCTTCAACCACAGCCCTTAAACCCTTTTGACCCTGTCTTCCTCCTCTCAACAAATTCTGCAGAGCACACCTTTCCACCCATTCCCCAATATCGTGCCTCAGTCACTGCAAGAGCTGTACTGCTGCCTCCGTGTTCCTATGTTTACTACAGTATCCCCACAGAGCCTGATGAACCCAAAGGAAGATAAAACCTGTAGTGGCATTTCATTCCTATTTTTATAAATAAAGCTTGCCTTAAGATCAGGGAGTAAAACAGCCACACTGGTCATCAGACCAGGCAGTGGTGACACACACCTTTAATCCCAGCAGCCACATCAGTTTGCCATGGAAACCAGGTGGAAGTGGTGCATGCCTTTAATCCCAAATCTAGAGAGGATTATAAAACAGCTCACAGACACAGTCTCATTCTGAGAGTCCTGAAGGCAAGATGTCCATTTTCAGACTGAGGTAGAAGTAAGAGCCAGTGGCTGGATGTTTTGCTTTTCTGACCTCCAGGTTGAACCCCAATTTCTCTCTTTGAGTTTTTATTAATCATGTTTCAGCCTTCCTTGGAATAAAAGCCAATGCCCTTCCATGATCTATAATGCCTAGCAGGCGCTAACCCTATCCCATCCTGATTTCCAATCCGCCTCAGCCGTCTTTGTTCCCTGCTCTTCCTCAAAGCTGCCAAGCATAGCCCAAATCAGTGTTTTGCATTTGCTGTTCCCTTGCCTTGAACAGTACTCTCAACCTGACTGATTTCCTCCCTTCTGCCGTCTTCTCAATAAGACCACCCTTCTTCCAACTCTCCCTAAGTCACCTTTCTTTTTTAACTGGCAGTTTACACCCTTCTCAGCAGCCTATCACTGAGAAGTTTTGTCTTCTTTAGTCAGCATCTGTTATCCATCATCTGATATTTAGGTTCCACAAGGGTGACACAGTACACTACTGTACCCTAGCACTTCAAACACTGCCTCACGTGTCAGCCAAACTTGAGAACTAACCACTACCTGTCCTTGTTTCTACTTCCACTCTGACAAGTACTCAATACATTCTAAGGAGATGACGCAGGCAAAGGCCTTCATCTTCACAGAGGGAAGTAAAAGCTGGATCTAATGAAGTTCAGACTGCAGGCTAGGGCTTTCCAGAGAAATCAAGTACTGTTTCCGAGCCTATGAGTGGAATCCTGCCAACAGGAAACACCCTACTGAATCCAAGAGGGCAACTCTCCCCAGATAACTGATTTGGCAATGCCAGTTGGTGCACAGTTAGAGGCTCAAGTTAAGTTCACCCACCCTGCAGTATTCTGAATACACACAAGCTGATGGAAAGTCTTTTAAATTTTATCAATGTTTGGCCACACTACAAGGAAGGAAAAAACCCTACCCTTTTACACAAATTGCATTTTTGCTCATCTTCATCTAATTTTCATACCAAGTTAAAGAGACTTTCTACGAAAACCCATCAAACTAATAAGGTTACAAGGCAAATCATAGCAAGGAGCAATAGGGGACTCATGGGAATACCATGTGGACAGAATATGCACACAAACCAGTGAAAAGAGACGTCTGATAACATCAAAACAATCATGCTCTCTACGTCTCAGTGCTATGATGGGCCAATGTATTATTTGGTCTTGTGAGAAGCCTCCCATACACCGTATCAGGGAAGGCCCTGATTCTAGAAGGCTCTAATAATAACCACAGAGCATACACCATACAAAATAAAAGATCAGTTCATAGAAATTTCACAACTCAGGAAGACACTGTGACCAAGTTCAAAATTGTCCAGAATTCACCATCAAATGTCACACTCCCATAAAGAGACCTACCCTGTATCTTCATATCCCCCGCAGTTCCTTTCAGTGAACTGAACTTGTCCTGCAAGGAGGGACAGACCCTGTGGGAAAATAGCAAAGTCGGTCAGGTGCCTGACTCATCACCCCTCCATAACTATCCTCTAAACAGAGAATTACCTGTACAAGCTAAATGCCAGTGAAAAGACACTTTTAAGTGATTTGTTTAGTATCATGTGATTCTTACCATCAATTATTATGGGAAAATACTTGAGAAAAATTTCCCTCAGAAATGTGAATACTCAAAGTTCTCCCACACAAAAATGGTGGGTGCCGGGCTGGAGAGATGGCTCAGAAGTTAAGAGCACAGGCTGCTCTTCCAGAGGACCCAAGTTCATTCCCAGAACCCACATAGTGACTCACAATCGTCCATAATAAGATGTGGTACCGTCTTCTGTCCTGCAAGCATCTATGCAACCAGAATACTGTATATGTAACAAATAAATAAATCTTTGTTTTAAAGTGATGTGTGCACAAGAAGGGAAGACTTTGGAACCTCACAATCTGGCCTGAGCGCACACCAACTGGGGCATTTACTTTCCATTCAATCCATCTCGCTCACTCCTTGTCAGTCTGGCCAGCCCTGATTCAAAGGTCTTCCAATGAACAATGACACCTCTTTGGCCAATGGGACTTCCATGGGACTCTATTGCCCTCTTGGAGTGAAAGCTGGCTAGGACCAGAAACTGGCTTTCCCTTAGGTATCCCTGGAGCCTAGGACATCTCTAGGCAATGACCAAGACAAAAAATGAGGCCAGTGAGTATATAATGAAGGAACTATGGTTGCCTCTACCATTAGTAAATACCAATGCTATATACCCTCTTTTTAGAGAAGGTCATTTTATAGTTTTTTTTTTTGTTGTTGTTGTTTTTTGTTTTTCAAGACAGGGTCTCACTCTGTAGCCCTGATAGAACTCACCAGTCTGGCTTGAACTCAGAGATCCATCTGCTTTGCCTCCCAGATTAAGGGCGTTTGCCATTGAGTTCTGTTTCATTTTACACTTTTCAAAATCCCCAATTCAATCCATGTGGGATAAGCCCACACGTAGGCTCCCAGTTTGGGTTTTAAAAAAAGTTCATTGCTACATCATCCCATCCATTACTGATGATGCTGTCTCTGCTGCTTTTGGGCTACCCTGGCAAGAGTGAGTTGGAGCAGCAGCAGCAGCTGGTCATTCATAGAAAAAAGTCTTGCTGAGCTCTGCTTTGAGACCCTTGAAGGCTCCAAAGGAAAAGGCTCTGCTCACAAGACTGTGCAGCCCTGTCCTTGAGGGAGGCACACAGATAAGCATAACAATGAGGCCTCAGTGAGCTGCAAGCCTTGGAAGAGTTCCTAGCTGGGTAGAAAGGTTCTACAGAGAAAGGCAAGGGAGAAGGCCTCCAACAACTCCCATTCCCTCAGAAAAGCCCATCCAGCCCTGATTTCCACCCCTGGTTTGGCTCTGGAGCCTTAGAATATGTTTTTGCCCCCCACCAGCCCAAGGAGCTAGTCACCTAAACTAAGAGCTCTGGATGTAGGTAAAGCAGGTAACCCCCAGACAACAAAATGTTCTTTCTGTAGGACTATTGTATCACCTTGGTGATATGTGTGGCCTAGACCATAGTATCTGGGCCTGTTGACCCAATATTGTGGAAAAGACACAGTGATTAAACAGGACTGACTTTTTCTTTCCTGGAGTCATACTTGCCCCCAGGGTTGCAGCAGAGACAGGTATGGGACCAGGCTGCCTTAGAAACACTGCCCCCAGGATACACTAAGGAAAGCCCTGGTTCTTTGAAAGTTGGGGTGAGGAAGAACAATCTAGGAAGCTATTTTCTGTTACTGGGTTTTTGGATCATCAGGTGCCCATCAAGCCAACAGTAATCATAATTCCATAAACATAGACCACATCAAATCCCAACACAATCACAAGCCCAGGGCTTTCATTAAAGTTCATCGTGTACTGTCAGGGCTACTTCTCCACCATCTTGGCCAAGGCTCTGTAGCCAGCACTGTTAACTAACCAGCTGCTCTCCTGGAACCCTTTGAGAGGACACATTCCCATGTTCCCCCCAGGAGACACCCCAAGAGAAGGAAAAGAATACAGGACATTACCGCATACACATCCATTCCAGTATGTCCAACCGGTACTTTGAGGGCCTACATAGCAGATCCAGAATTGTCTTTGGCTCTGCAATATACAGACCATCAAGGAAGGGGCAGCTTACAGCCTAAGCAAGGAAAGGGAAAGTAAAAAGAAAACCTGTTACTGTAGGGTAGCAATGCATTTCTGTCAATTCGTGCTCAGGACCCCTTCCTAACCCTTCCACACACTTCCCACCTCCAAGAGCATGGTGCCAGCCAGAAGCACCTCCTGGTCTTGCCAAAAGTTCAAGTCCCTCTCATCTTCACCCAAGCCTCCTGTGACTTGCTACACCACCACTTTTAAATGTGTTCCCTCTGGGCTCCATGGCCACAAAACTAGGAAAATGCCTAAGAGTGGGTTAGAAAGACTAAGATTAAATCTGAGGGCTGGTGGATGGAGAGTGAAGGTGATCAGAGTCAAGGGCAAGGGGAGATGGGAGGGAGGTTAGTGAGGGGGACAAGGGTCCTGGACTAGCTCTCTGACTTTACACTGCTGCATGTACCTTAAGTGCACCTGGAATCCCTACCTCTAATCCAGCAAAATGGCTGTCCCCAAACCCAACTCCACCCACTTCTAACTCTTTGAGAGTGAGGCCTACACCCTCCATTTCTTCACACACTCCAAGTTCTCAGCCTCAATATTACAAAGTTCGGTGGAGACTGCATGAGCAGAGGTCCGGGAACCCAAAGAGCTAAGACAGACAATCCACAAGTCGCCCCTAAGGCTTTGCCAGGACCCACCACTGTGGATACCTGTGGAGTGGCCAATTTTCACAGAAAGCTCCAGAAGGCCTTGAGGTAGGGCCCTGCCTGGTCTCCCATCCTGGAGTCCCTGGCTTACAGTACCTTCAGCTTTTCGAACACCTCCACAGCCGCCTTGACCACACGGTCATCGCCCACATCATCACAGTAGCTGTCACCAGAGCCGATGCCGCTACTGGCGGCTGTACCCTTCTCCGCCATGTTTTTGCGTTCTGAAGCACAACCGGTTCACGCCCCCAAGCTTACAGGCCGCGACCACACAGCTACGCTTACAGCAGTTACTTAGGTCTTCCCGCCCACTAGTCTGCGCGCGGCAGGGGCGGAGCCACCCGTCAGTCCGTAGGGACAGAGGCCCACGCTCTTTCTCACTGAGCCTTCCTATTGGGCTGCAGCTCGGCCATTGTCTGCGCGCGCCTCAGGGAGCAGAGTGCAGCGAAGAGGATTGGGCAAGAACAGGACAGAGGCGGGCTGAAGAGAGGCGGACTAGGAGCGGCGGGAGTGGGGCGGGGGCGGAGTGGGAGAGGGGGAGTGGGAGTGGGTTGGGGGCGGAGCGGAGGGGTATCGAGGTGGCACAAGAACTTGGCAAAGCCAGAGGAGCTCCTTTAAAAAGCAAAAGCGTGGGACTCCTACAGGTCAGACTCTTCCAGGAGGGGGTGCTCCTGCTTTGTTTGGGTTCTCTTTGGCAATAACAATTGGTACCTAACGGAGGAAGGCAAGGTTTGGTAGAACTAAGACCTGAGCAATCCATCTTGTTTCCTTGGCACACGAAGTCAGTGGGAAAGTTCTTAAATTCGAATCTGACTGTGTCACTCACTAGCTGTATAACTTTTGTTTTTGTTTGTGTTGCGTGTTTTGTTTGGGGGCTTTTGAATCAGGATTTGTAGCCTAGGCTGACTTCAAATTTGTGATCCCCCTGCCTCAGCCTCCAAAGCACTGTGATGACAGGCATGCACCATCACACACAGAAAATTGGATAACTTTGAGCCAGTTACCTAACTTCTCTGTGCGCCCTTACCCTTGGATAAAGGTTGGATAATGAGACTGCTTGTCTCGTTAGTTTACTAAAGAGAATGACAAGAGGCAATACTTTCTATGAAATTCCTAAGGCTGAGCCTGACACGTTAACGGTGCCTGTAAGTGCTCATATTAGCATCATGCTGGGTCTCACACACCTTCCTAGTTTTGGCTTTCGTGGATGCTCTTGTGCCTCATGCCTATCCTGTCCAGTTAAAAATCTATCTCTGGCCTTTCAAGCTCAACATATTTAGAGAAATAGTAGTCAGCCCCCTTATTCCTAGAACTCCAAAAACACAGTTTGCTATGATTTCAACCCGGGATCAGGTGATTGGATAAGGCAAGAAGGAATTGAAGGGTGATTGTTGCTCAGGAGTTAAGATCCAGAAGCCATCTATTGCACTCATGTGCACGTCCTCTGTGCGTTGTAATGCCATCTCCTCAAAGAGGAATCATGAAGGGAGATCAAGAAGCAAGAAAAAATGAGGTATGAGGCACATGCGTGCAGTCCCAGAGCTTCCATGTGCACATAGAAGGATCACAAATACAAGGGCAACCTCAACTACATAGTAAGTTCCAGTCCACCTTGAACTACTTGAGACTGTGCTCCATAAACAAAGAAACAAACCAAAAGAGGCATAGAGTCTGGGGAGATGACTCAATCCGTGTTTGTTTTTAAAATTGGGATAAGGAGCATACATGTAAGCCCAGCTATGAGAAGATGATTCCAGCCAATTGATAAGCTTTCAGTTCAGTGAGAGACCCTGTTTCAAAAAATAAGATGGAAGGCTGGAAAGATGTCTCGGCCATTAAGAACACTGCTGTTCCTCTTTCAGAGGACCCAGGTTCAGTTCCCAGCACCCACATGGCAGCACACCACCATCTGTAAATCCAGTTCCAGAAGAACTGGGCACTGTATGCATATGGTGCATAGACATAAAAAGAATCATTCACAAATAAGGTAAAGACCAACTGAAAAAGAAGCCCAACATCAATGTCCAGCCTCTAGATTCCCCATACCCCCACATATATATGCATGCGCACACCAGAGGGCTGAGGAGGGGGAGTGTTGTTAGCGTACTGAAACCCTCTGACTGCAGAGGGTTTTCAGTGAAGTCCTTGAAGGAGGGAGCAGGGAAGAGTTTAGGGCTAACCGAAAGTCAAGGTCTAATTCCTTACTAATAACTTGGAAAGTCACGTTCTTCAGAGGACAGAACATGGATCCTCCCAACTTGAGATGAAGAAATCTGGGGAGAAGGCCCAGCATCTTGGCTCAGTGGCCCAGTTCATAGCAAAGTATTTTAAAGGCCTCTTTCTATCCTCTACAAGGTTTCTGTAATACAAGGGTAGAGGGGGCTTTGGGGTGCTTGTTCTTCCTTTTATTTTTTGTTTTTATACTTTTTCCTGCCTTTTTCTATTTTGTTATTTCTTCTTTTCTTTTTAGAAAAATTATTTCAATCATGACCCTAACTCAGACATTCAAATTCTTGTGGGTTTTTCATGTGGATCTTTCCTAGGACTGGGGAATTTGGCGGGAGAAACCACTGCAGTGCGACTGCCTCCCTCCACCCTCCCTCCATATCCTCTGCTCCTGAGGAACGGAAAAGAAACCAGCCCCTGTGTATTCTGGAAGAAAATCCTCCTTCTCCACCCAGTCCCAGGGAGCCAGGGCACTGAGCAGGTCTTTCCCCAGCTCAGCAGCTTTGTCTGTATAGCTCCGGGTGGGGCCTGAGCGATTGGTGCAGCCTGGAGAAGCAAAGTCCATCTACAGAAGCCCTGGAGGCTAACTTCCTGCACCAGGGCCACAGCAGCAGAGGGCAGCCTGCCTTCCAATTTAGTCATGGTACCTCTTAGCCATCCTCCACTGGAAACTGGGGCAGAAATCTAGAGAGTCATGGGACCACTCAGTAACAGGAAAGAAGAGCACCAGTCGTAGAAACTTCTGGAAACATAAACTCGAGCTCAACATAAAGAAGCATATCTCCAAAAAAGCTTTGTTCATACATTAACTGGCTGGAGGGGAAGGGTGCTGTATATCTTGGGAGGTGTGTGTGCTGGGGAAATGTGTAGATACTTGGGGATGGGTTCCTACAATGGAGGAGGGGAAGGTAGGCAGACCTCTAAGAGCAATCCTGCCTAGAAGATGTGAATTCTATTAGGGAGATGGGATAGAGATGAGGCATCAAGAGTCCACTGTGATGGAGCTAAAAGACCCTAAGGTCTGCAGTGAGGGGGTGGTTAGAGACAGGGTGGGAAGCCTTGGACCGAACTAGGATTTATAGGAAGTCATGAGGAACACTTGGCCATGGGTTGCAGAAGCTCCTAAAGCCATGTGTCAGTGTTTGGCATATAGGTTGGAAAAGGAGAACAGTTGACAAGCACTAGCCCCACAGTTCAAGGGATGAGATGGCAGGCTGTGGAGACATATGAGAGTCTTCTACTTGTGCAGTTGGGCTCCTGGAGTAGGCATTCTTGCCTCAGAGCATTGGGCTGACCCTGGGGGATATTGGGACAAGACAATGCCTTGTAGCACTCATGTTGCTTTCATTATTAGACCCAGGATCCTATGGAAACCTTAGATGGGACCCGCCCCCTCCCCCCCCCCCCCCCAGTGGAACACTCCTAAGAAAGGAGACTGAAAAAGGTAGACCGGCTTCTTCTGCCTCTGTCAGGAAATAGTAGCAATAGGTCCTCCTGAAGCAGAGCTGCTCTACAAAGATGCTGGCATGTTAGGATAGCTCAGAAGCCTTCAAGGGACCAAGGCAATGTCCACTCCCAGACAGATCTTCTATCCCTGAAGCTTCCCAAGAAGGACCATGGAAACCAAATTCAGACTCAAAGAAACAGCAAACATGGTGTAGTAGCACACGCCTTTAATTTCAGCACTCGGGATTAAAGGCAGGTGGATCTATGAATTTGAGGCCAGCCTGGTCTACAGAGTGAGTTTCCAGAACAGCCAGGGTTACAGAGGGACCCTGTCTCAAAAAACAAAAAAGAAAAGAAAAGAAAAGAAAGGGAAGGAAGAAAAGACAAAAAGAAAAAAAAACAGTAAGTAGAGTCCTGAGAGTGTGGGCATGCCCACACATGTGCTTGTCTCAGGGGAAGAAATGAGGTTGCAGCAATGAGGTCAGGTTGAGGATAGCCCAAGTTGGGACTCCAATGAGGTTCCAGACCAGTCCTGAGGCCAGCAAGAGTCTCTAGGGTGGGCCCAGCATTTCTTCAGGTGCGAACAGTCTGTGAGGTTGCATGCATACCCGAAGAGTGCACCTAGTCCCCATGAACTGGTAGTCGGAATAGCCATGAGGAGTGGGGAACAAGGACTGTGTGTCCTTCTTCCCCAGGCCTAACAGTTTAGGGCAGGGGCTGAGCCCCTGTGAACTGTTGCACTCAAGCACACAACTCCAAGCAGCCCCCTTTGCTGTGCCTGTGAATGCTAAAACAGGGGATAAGGTGCACAGCTGCACATGCATAGTGCTTAGCCGAGGTCGGTAAGGAAACAGCAGCAGCGGCAGCATCACCCCCTCCACAGGGAGGCTCTCGGGTCTAGACTTCTTGGCAAGGCCAACAAGGCTGAGTCACATGTGTCTGGAGCTAGAGACGCGGGCGCCAGGACTGGAACACAAGCGTGCCCACTCAGAGGGCCGCTGGGGAGGGGATGCTCGACTTTGAATTTTCACAAGTCTATCTTTTCCCCCAACCAAGCTTCAGCTTCTGTCTAGCTTCTGTACTGTGCCTGAGGCCCACCTGATGGGGTGAAAGCTTTCATAGAGAGTCAAGTGGAGCCCATATTTTTGGCAAGAATCAACTGGAATTTCAGACTGAGAAGGAAGATGGGAAAGTGGTCCCAAAGTCCCCCTTGTTGTATGGTGCCCTCTACAGGCCCCCTTTCATTGGCACCCTCCCCAGGGACACCCACACCCCAGCCAAAGAAGGCCTCGGGCCCTCTTCTCTGCCCATCAGTCAGTGCCTGCTGCCTCCATTCTCTCTCCAACAAAGGTTCTGTTTCCTCCCTTCCCATTTCCCATTCTCATCTCTGTCAGGCAAGGCAGCGCAGACCATGACATGAGTGTACATATGAATGGTCTCTGTCTACAGTGCTCACAAGCGCATCTGCAAGAGTGTTTCTTTAATTTGGAACAGATCCTCTGAGGTTTTAATGGCATTAAAATAAGCTTAGTTTCCTCTAGGGAAGGGTCGCAGGCAGCAGGAGGAAGGCACGGAAAGTTTTACTTTTCTCTTCTGAAAGCTTTAAGGGGAAAAGGCCCCTGTATCTTT